GAATACAGTTTTCCATCCTTCACACAAGAGCCGCATGGAACAAAAACAGAAACAGGAAGCATAGGTATAGTATAGTTGAAGAGCCTCTGACGTCATAATTCTTCCAGGCCATAACCATACAAATTTGATCATCAAGACGACAAATTTCTATATACAAGAAAATAAAACCCCAAAACATGTAACTTTCAACCCTCCTCTGTTTTGTTTTTTTTTTTTTTTTTTTTTACACACAAAATATGAAACTCATGGTTTCAACAGATCTGTCTCTTTCAAACACTGAATGAATCATTTCAACATTCATTTTTCTTTTGTGCAATTTAAAAAAAAAATATCTGTACTCCCCAAAGTGAGTGCCTCAAAAGAAAATCCCCCCCCCCTTTGGCTGCTCAAATTAGGTGTACTTTAAAGAAAACAAAACAAAACAGAAAACTTCCCACAAGGTAAGTGCTACAAGAAAAAGCCTATCAGTAAGGTAACATTTGAAGCGAGGTCATCTATGTGAAAGGAATCTCAGCTCCAGAGTAGAGATGTGCAAACAGTTTGGAGTTGCCATAGGAACAGAAATACAGCACTGTCCACAGAAAAGGGAGGAAACCAACCCAACACAACAGGTCATATGCATGTGCTTTATAAAAAAGTAGATTCTCTATAGTTATTACTCCATTTTTCTTTAAATTCTCTATTTCAGAAATTCTGGGTTCAAAACACAACCATGGAAGCAAAGGCCTTTGCTCCACTTAAAAACAACAACAACAACAACAACAAACAAAAACCAAAGTATAATTTTCTTGCCTTTCATCTCAACCACCAAAGAAACTGAATTGGGCCCTGGAGACTGAGGCCCTGTATTCCCCTGGAGTCAAAGGGGGATGACTAGGAAATTGGAAGTGCAGAGGGTTTCCAGGAGAGAACAGACCAGTTTGTTGAGCTGCTTGTGGCTCAGGAAACAGTTGCCATGCCAACCAACTCAGCTCAAAAAGTCTGGCTTTCTATCCAGAGAGCTCTGCCTCCTCACCCATGTCTGAAATAGGTGTTAGTGTCTTCAAAAGCATCTACAAAATAGGTTTCCTTAGTAGTCGCAGATGTTAAAGGGCATTGTCAATTGTTTCCTTAAAAAAAAAAAAAAAAAGAAAAAGAAAAATCCAAAGCTACAACAAAAACAGATTTTGGCAACATATTTCAGTAAAGATCAAACTATGTGCAAAGCGTGGATTTTCTGATCACTAGGAGCTACTGTTCATCTTGAACGTGCAGCATTATATTGCAATCTGTGCAGTAGCTAAGGAGCAATCCACACGATGCAGGGAAATCCAAACATTCCTTGAAATTGTACAACCCTACTCCAGAGCAGTCCAAAGTGCTGTTGCTGAACACTTCCTCTGTGTTCCACACACACACACCAGCCCCATCCCTGAGTAAGAGGTGTGAAAGGTTCCGCAGAGTTCCTTGCAGGGGAGAAGGAAGGATGCTGCTACTTCCTGGTGGGGGTAAGGGGGGTGGGGGCAGGAACCCAACAATCTCACCTAACAGAAAACATACAAGGTCAGGATTCAGAGTTAAGGACGTTCTGTTGCCACCACCACCACAAAAATCAGGCCATCCCAAACTGAGCTGGAAAAATCGAGAAAAGCAAACTGGGACCAACGTAGACGATTATCCTGCAAGTCCAAAAAAAAAAAAAAAATGCAATTTGGATTTCCACTTTTAAAAAGATTTGAGGTAAGTGGCATCCATGGCCTTCTCTCCCCAATCCCTACCCCACCCCAGCTGACCCCAAGGTGGCCCAGACAAACTGAAAATAATTCTAAAGTTAAACATTCTAAGGAACAGTCATTTTATATATTTAGAAATCCCTATAAAGAGAGGTTCTTGTTTGTTGGTTTCTTATTAGTAATATTACTGTGTTTTCTTTTTCGCCCTGACTAATCTCTTGGTGATTGTGTTCCATTGTAAACGCAAAAGGCCTGCTGTTATTTGTTTTAAAATGGAAAGCAGGAAAGAGAAGAATGAAAGACAGCTGTTGGTAAATATTGCAAAGAGAACAGGTACAGAGGCGCATGGCTGATCCTTGTATGCTGATGGCACAGCCATTACTGTGCTCCCTACACAGAAGGGTGACCACAGCTGCTCCAGGAGCCTGGCGGGCCCCACCAATGTCTGCAAACCAGAGGTGGCTCCTGCCTCTGTGTGCTCTTCCTATTTCAAGAGAAAGCTGTCACAAGGGAATGGTGACTGTGGTTGCCAGGTGGTCCCCTCCAAAGCCACTAGTGGGCATGCTTCGAACACACGCACATACGTAATACGTTGTTTGTGCTCAAAGGCAGAGATCAAAGTCTCAAGGACACAGAAGAGACTGAAAAAATGGGTTGACTGCTGCCCACACTGCTCCAGAGCATGCTTAGTTAGGAACCATCTGCCTCCTTGCCGTATTCCAGGTTCACTAGAGTGAATGGCCTTCGAGGAGTGCAGAGTTTGGGCCTTGGCAGAATTTCCCTCTGGTCTCCTTGGATGGCTGGCTCTGTGTCCTGGTGATAGACACAGAGGTTCCCTACCCCAGTGCTCCACATCCACAATAAGGGAAAGCAAGAAGGCTCTCCTCTCCTGGCTCCTTCTCTCCAGCCTTTCTCTGGCCAGCAAGGGGAAGGGAGGTCGACCCACAGAACAAGGAAAAAGCCAAAAGGGAATGAACTTTAACTAGATAGCGCATTGTTGGCACACAAAGTATTGCACATGCTGAGAGAGTGAGAGTATGAAGTGGGACAAAGACTTCAGAAGAACCAATGATTTTTATAATTCCTATACCTGAAATAGAACCACAAAAGTTATGATATTCCTATTGCTCTGAACTGTGTGATTACCTATTTTAGTGTCGGTTTAATGGATACAGTAAGTTCAGTCCTCGAAGTTAGCCAGAAAGTGATGTGTGTGTGTTTTCTGAGCCCCCAGGAGCTATTGTAAATAGTGCCACACAGCACCCCTGTGGCATCTCCTATTCCTCTTACCATCAAAGGTAGAAAGAAAGAAAGAAAGGAAGAGAGGGAGGAAGGAAGGAAGAAAAGGAAGGAAAACAAAAACCTAATAAGTGCCCTGAGCAGAATATATGGAAGATTAAGCAAGGTCTCTGAACAGAAACATTAGAAAAAAAAAACAGCACTAAATAAGCAATGTGACTGCAAGAATGGCCCCACCCAGCTCTGCTAGCATCTGAGAGGATAATGACATTTAGGGAGAGGCCAGCTATTCTGAACCTACTCAAAGGTTTTTGGTACATCCCAGAAAAAAAACTCCTTAGTCCCAATGAGAGCCACTGTGAATGAAGACTGTAGAACCAACATTTGGGTTGTATGAGGAAGGAGAGGTCTCCTTTTTCTAATTTGAGACATGGAAGAAGTCCTTTTTGTTTTTTAATGGTTAAAGTCTAATAAGTATGTAAGAGCATGTAATACTCTTACAACCAAGTAAGAGTATTTAGGAACTTTATGTATAAAACTTGGTTTAAAGCACTTTAATATACACTCAGAACCCACGAATGATATTTTGATCTCTGGGAATGAAAACTTGTGACTTTGTGAAATACCCTTTCTGGGTTTTTGTACCAAACATTAAATCTTGGTTTGATTTCAAATAGGCAAAAAAAGTCATTTGAAAAATAATATTAACACTTTTTTTTCCAGAAACAAAAAAAAAAAAAAGAGAAAAACTTGCTTACATGTATAAAATGTCTATATGGAAAACTCTCAGTGAATCTGAAAAAAAAACCAAAAAACCCAAAACCTCTCAGATCTGGCTTCTCATGACAGATGTAGCAGGTGACAAAATGAATCTGAAAGGAACAGAACCTTTTAAGAATGGCCTAAGGTCTAGGCAGGTTAGAAAGTAATTTTGCTACATTTATTTATGCTCATTCAACATCCCCGCCCCCCCAGAAACCTTTCCCACAATGTTATTGGATAAAAACTGCAGGAATATCACACAAATTATAAACTCAATATGTGCAAATCGCAAAGTTCTTTAGGAGTTCACTCTAAAAACACTGGACAAAAACGAGTGTCTTTTCCTTCCTGTGTTTTTCTCAGTTTCTCTGCCAAGTCTGCATATGCAAAATACTCTTTCTCCAACATCAAAGTGACAAGTGCCTGCCATAGTACTTGGTGGTCATCTATTGTCACGTACTAGTTCATAATTCACATTCATCCCTTTAAACCAGACTGGAGGTTTGATTGCTGGCTTGGGAGCAATCCTGCAGAGCTGAAATATAGTTACAGTGTTGGAAAAAAAAAAAAAAGAAAGCAACTTAGATTTGTCTTTTCTTGCCAAAGAGTTTAAAGTTACAGTACTCACTGAATGACAGACCAAGATGTTTGATTAAGAAGTCTGCATGTCATTTTTAACTGCTTAAGAGATAGTTAACAGGTGTGAATCTTCCAGATCTAATTCCTCACCACGTCATGCTGGGATTGAGAGAAAAAAGAAGCGGCACCGGAGTTGTCCATAGTCAGGAACTAGAAACAGTACTATACCTAAAAGACGGAAAGAAGCTGCCGGGCTCAGCTCTGAGAGCTGCCTGGCTCTCTCAGGGGGGACCTTGCATTTTCTTCCTGGGAGCAAAGTCAATGCAAATAACCTGGTAGGTTTTCCTAACACTGCACAGAAACCAGTGTGGGTGCTCCTCTGTCCCCCAGCCCCACTGCCATCTGCCTGACCAGGAATGACCTAAGCAAGGACTTCCCTGCCCACCATGACACACCGTGACATCACTGGGCTGGTAAAGCAGAAATGAAATCCCACGAGTGGAAGCTGCTCTTAAAAAAAAAAATCTCAGTGCAGTCAGACCCCACGG